CCGGCATGACGTTGATCACTTTGGCCTTTTTTAAGGGATCAACATTGTAATGAGAAACAGTGGTGACTTTAACAGTGCCGTGTCATCGGCAAACATTTATATATCGATTTGTATCTACTAATCTGTCTTGTTTACAGCGTGTTATGAGTGTCTTTTTTAATCGACCTTTCTGTTTTCCCCTAGAGCAGCAAAGTGTCAATTAAGCATGATATTTAGAAGTGCAGAGAAATACCAAACCTTTTTACCTGTCGACCGGTTCCCAGCTCGAGGCAAAATGCTGTTATCAGGAGTTATCGTTATGTAGTTGACATTCCGTCCACGGGACGGCGCCACGGGTTGTTTATTACCTGTCCACGCCAGGTGTGCTATTTCTGGCAACATCGATGGCCGCCGTGGAATTCAAAAAATCAAATACGGAAGAGCGTTTATTTGTGATTAACCTTTTCTGATCTCTGATCTATTTGACCAGTAACGGACGTCTGGTCGATATCCACGTGCTTGTGGACAGGTGAGGAGAGGACCGTGACGGACACATATCGCACGGGTGAAGCGTGTGTGGTATGACAGTTTACTTGGGGACAATACCCTTTATGAATGCGTCATATGTGTAGTATGGCTCTCCTAGCCTGATTACTCATAAACCCGGGTGTACACGGAAGTAATCAGTGTCGGGGACAGACAACATCCCTCGTGGATCTGTTTTCAGTACGGATACTATATACGGGTGAGAAAAGACACGTAAAAAAGGTTAAAACTCGAGTGTGTGTTGGGATTAATACACCTGTCGGGTATTCATCAAGCTGAGGGACCTATCGGCGTGGACGTCCACATAGAATGCGAAATGGCCTTAAAGGGGCTATCGCACATGGATACAGATATGTTCTTATAGCGATATGCCTTATAGTAATACAACAGCCGACTGTCTCGTCGGAAGAAATAGGTAAGTTGTAATCCAGGTGTGAACTCCCTAGAACCAAACGCGACCCTGTAAAGCGGTCCCCATTGAAACGCGTACGTTGTTACGAGGATATACGTCAGATGCCCGAGTAGTTTTAATAGCTCACGTAATTTTATACAATATATTATATGTTATTCATTCCACAGTTTATCGTTGTGTTAACGCGTATGTATACTTTTGCCACTCCCCAATAATGCCAACATACCAAGGTACCCCACCCATAATACACCTGTTATCAGTACAGTGACATCAGTACAGACTATATCCTAGTACATTGTAAACATACACATATATACATGTGTATATCAGGACACTGTACCTCCCCACTGTCGATCATTTACATAATACATGTATCGTTATAGACAAGGTGTGACCCACAGCTGATGAACGCGACCTTGTTCTACCCCACACCCATATATGGAGGTCAAGTCCATTCACTAACTCTCTATAAACGACATCTGTGTGATTGACTAATGACATATCTTGGCATTCCTTACCTGTTTACTCATGCCTGTCGTGTGGACTGAGTACGTAGTCTGACCAGACCAAGAAGATCAGTATCCTATGTGACCGACCCCCCTAGATCAGGGACGCCTGCAGGTACTGACCATGTAGAGACCTCATATGTAATAATTCAGGGGTGTAAAATTCCAATAGCCCCACACCCAGGACTAGAAGATTTTATGTTGTGTCGAGTGAACATTTTAAATATTTAATATAAAAATATAGATAGAGTTTGAAGAACTTTTTAAATGGTACACCAATGAATACATCTGTATACCTCATGGATCATCCCAGATACAGGCCTACACGGATGGTATATATATTTACATGTCTCTGCATGGGTTGACATTCTAAGCACATGTTTACATGTTGATTTTCAGTGACATTCATGTAAATAACCTGACATCTGTGATATCATCTTTATCATAACCTCAGGATTTATATCATCTTTATCATAACCGCAGGATTTATATTCCGTTGTACCTCCATACGGTGATATACGACCACCTAAAACGGCTTTTGACCCTCAAAATGTTAGTCTTGCCATATGAAGGGGTCAGGAGTTTTGATTTATGTCTGATTTTACCTCCAACGTTACGACTAGCACAAACACTGTTATATGTGAATAACAAGTTCTGTTTGGGTTTTACCTTACTAAATATTTGTATTATAACTCTTACACAACAGAGACATAAAGACAAATTATGGGCATCCGGATAGTAGTTTATCATGAATTATATTTATCTGGGTCCGCACGGGGTGATAAACTTGTAAGACAATCATTTTACATATTTAGGTGGGAAACCACATAAGTGTAGATATAGTACTGTCTTGGGTATACGGACGGAGATTAACCTGCATATGCAGGATACTGGCGACTCATTTGCAAATGAATACATATATGTACATATGCACTGTATATCATTTTCCAAATGTTGGACACATTTCGCCCTATTCCAAATTTCTTATATGTATTATATGATTAATATACTTTTGGGACTTGCACAAGTCTTTCTAAGTCACAATTGTATGCCCTGACATGATTGAATCATGTGGTGTTTCATGTTAACTGACGCGATACTTTTTCATTTTTTTTAATTTCCAAATTATACAGTGCAAAGAGTACATTTTAAATACGCGCTTACTGACTACGACAAAACTGACTACACCTATAGTTTCACCTTGCAGAAATTCATGTGTATGCATATTCTTGACCCCAATACATTAACTTGTGTCGTTGACAGAACTTTAGAAGTATTATTAAAAAAAGCAAATGCAAAAAACTACTTTTATATGTATCCTAAATATTTCCTATAGTTGCTTGTGACGTTACAGAACTTTAGATGTAATTTTATATAATATTGTAGAAAAAAATAGTACAGAAAAAAGCGATACTTTAAAAAATACAATGAATTGTACATGTATATTTCCTATATTTTGTTGTTAACTTTTTGCACGTGACCCTGACTTCTGTATTCCAGTCAGTTTGAGCGTCTTGTTACGTCACTATCTACAAATGTCCTATCACAGGTCAAGTTACAGGTTCATACTTGACCAGCAGCGACACTGACGCCTACAGACATGTATCCACCACACGTTTTTTCTCTCCTAAAAAGGTTGATTGTATTGTACAGATTACCGCGTGCCGTACTCGCCCCGAACGTACGGTATAGACTCAGACGTATGTATAGGTTATCACACAGACTACAAGGTTTACGTAACGTGAAGGCACAGTGTATACCTTTCGGCTAATCTCCGCGTTATGTGTGGAGTCGTTAAAAGTAAATAAACAACTCCACGAAAATGGAATATATACATGGTTTACATATGTTTCCCAAATAAAAAAGAATAATAATATTAACTATGACTTTCATCACGACCCATTCTTTGCAAAAAAGAAAAGGAAAATGAAACTATTGTTTAAAAAGTCGATACATGCTAAATTTGAATCTTACTTTTTTGAAAAAATGCATAGTTTGGACGAAAATAATAAGTTATTTCTATACAGTAAAATTAAAAAAAAGTATGCAGAGGAACACTACCTATCGTTACCCAACTTTAAATATAGAAAATTGATGGCAAAGCTGAGATTAAGCAACCACAATTTCGAAATTGAGGCTGGTTGATATAAAAAGATTCCTCGACAATCCCGACTATGTAAATTCTGCAATACTGTAGAAGATGAAGTACATTTTATATTTAAATACAAAATAAATTTAAACATCAGAACTACGTTTCTCCAAAAAATTAAAATTAACCCATCATTGCCTGATCTACAAAATTTAATATTATTATTGTCATCTAATGACCCACAGCTTTTGCAGGAAATAAGCCTCTTTATTAAAAAGTCATTTAAACTGAGGAAGGCAGGCTTGCAGAATGCATAAGTATGTAGTTTTTGCTGTCCATTATATAGTATCAATGTTTGTTTGATGTTTGCAGCTCGATCCTTGTAAATTGGATGTAAAATGCAATACAGTTGATTGATTGTATGTAACGATACTCTTCGAGGGAAACTGGCATTATATTCAGACACGAGAGGGTGCTACTACAAATGTAATCGTCCTTTTTAACTTGAACTACAAAATGTTTACACGTGTTTGATTAGAAAGTGAAAGCATGAGTGTTAGCACGTGCACTCCCATCACCAATAGCCAACCCACGCCTTCAGTGTTTCTTCCCTGAACCATTGTCTAATACATCCACAACTGACACAACCGTCGACTTCAAGACCCTAAACTCCACAAAACTCAACTTCAAAAACACTAAAACCTGCTTCATATCCGGACACACCGCAACCCTCTGTTTCAAGGTGCCAACACAACATCCAATCCTCGTCTTCATCAATTGACAATCCTGTCCCTACGTTTCAATAAATTAACACCTCCCTATTATGTTTTGGTTTAGCCCAATATCTGTTTTACATGACCATCATGGCAATATCTGGACTTCAATCTTTCTGTAGCACACTCAACCACTGGCTTAAATGTTCTATCATTAAACGGACCTCTAGGTGATCACAACACCCCAACTCCAGGATTCAATCTCTTAATATACATTTAATTGATTGATTTTACGTCCGCTTCACTACCGAGCTGATCGATTATCCAGCAGACGATAATAATACCACCTTGAGTTGACCCTCGCTTTAGATGTCTCCACCTCACCCTTCAAAGTCCTAGCATCACATAAACGCTTGGCTTCAATGTCAAACCAGCATCGTAATGAGTTAAGCCATGCATCTCCTTCATTCCTCACCGCCTTTACTTTTTATCCTCACCAGTAAGTTAATCCCCCGCTTCAGTCCCGAATTCCACTCACCCTCCATCCTAATGACTTAACCCCTATTTCAGCCCCCAACCCCCAACCCCTTACCCTTCATTCGTATGAGTTATAACCTCTGTTTCATCCTCCCCTCCCCAACCCTTTACCGTTCACCCCCATGAGTGAACCTTCTGCTTCAGTCCCAAATTCTTCCCTACCCTTCATCCTCATGAGTTGACCCTTCTAGTAACTCTCGGCGTCAATGCTCATCTTGCAAACGTCCTGTTAAAATGATGACAGGGCGCGCAGACATGATATATTTCTATCATTAGCGACAGAACGTAGCCTGCACAGCTTATAATACAAAAGGTAACATAATGTATCAACTCCAGACAAACTATTTTTATCAACATTCATGACCGAGTGGTATGACAAATGAGATTTCGTGTTTGTATGAATGTTGACAAGAGGGAAAACAAAGGAAACGATTGTCAGTAAGAACGATCTTCGAGTGTAGCTTTATGTCCGTAGACATTGTACTTCATCAATAATCTGTCGAACCTAATATGTCAAACACATACACATGTTGACCATACCACTGACAACACAGTGACGTAATTTATTGTAAATAGAGATAGATAAAAGAAATATATATGACAGAGTTGTTTTGATTCGTAACATGACGTAAGCCTACTGTCCCCGCATGTGTATGTTAGTCATACTAGTCTATGACCTATGTCCAGGTGTCCGTGTCATACTAGTCCCAGACCTATGTCCACGTGTCCGTGTCATACTAGTCCCAGACCTATGTCCACGTGTCCGTGTCAAACTAGTCCCGGACCTATGTCCACGTGTCCGTGTCATACTAGTCCCGGACCTATGTCCCCGTGTCTGTGTCATACTAGTCCCGGACCTATGTCCACGTGTCTGTGTCATACTAGTCCCGGACCTATGCCCACGTGTCTGTGTCATACTAGTCCCGGACATATGTCCACGTGTCTGTGTCATACTAGACCCGGACCTATGCCCACGTGTCTGTGTCATACTAGTCCCGGACATATGTCCGCGTGTCTGTGTCATACTAGTCCCCGACATATGTCCACGTGTCTGTGTCATACTAGTCCCAGCCCTATATCCACGTGTCTGTGTCATACTAGACCCGGACCTATGTCCACGTGTCTGTGCCAAACTAGTCCCGGACATATGTCCACGTGCCCGAGTCATACTAGTCCCGGACCTATGCCCTCGTGTCTGTGTCATACTAGTCCCAGACCTGTGTCCACGTGTCCGTGTCATATTAGTCCCGGACCTATGTACCCGTGTCTGTGTCATACTAGTCCCCGACATATGTCCACGTGTCTGTGTCATACTAGTCCCCGACATATGTCCACGTGTCTGTGTCATACTAGTCCCGGACCTATGTCCACGTGTCTGTGTCATATTAGTCCCGGACCTATGTCCACGTGTCCGTGTCATACTAGTCCCAGACCTGTGTCCACGTGTCCTTGTCATACTAGTCCCGGACATATGTCCACGTGTCCGAGTCATACTAGTCCCGGACCTATGTCCACGTGTATGTGTCATACTAGTCCCAGACCTATGTCCACGTGTCTGTGTCATACTAGGCCCGGACATATGTCCACGTGTCCGAGTCATACTAGTCCCGGACCTATGTCCCCGTGCCCGTGTCATACTAGTCCCGGACCTATGTCCATGTGTCCGAGTCATACTAGTCCCGGACCTATGTCCCCGTGTCCGTGCCATACTAGTCCCGGACCTATGTCCACGTTTCTGTGTCATACTAGTCCCGGACCTATGTCCCCGTGCCCGTGTCATACTAGTCCCGGACCTATGTCCATGTGTCCGAGTCATACTAGTCCCGGACCTATGTCCACGTGTTTGTGTCATACTAGTCCCGGACCTATGTCCACGGGTCTGTGTCATACTAGTCCCGGACCTATGTCCACGTGTCTGTGTCATACTAGTCCCGGACCTATGTCCCCGTGTCCGTGTCATACTAGTCCCGGACCTATGTCCACGTTTCCGAGTCAAACAAGTCCCGGACATATGTCCACATGTCTTGAGTCAAACTAGTACCGGGCCTATATGCACGTGTCCGTGTCATACTGGTGCCCTGACATTTGTCCACGTGTCCGAGTTATGCTGGTCCCCGATCTTATGTCCATGTGTCGGAGTCATACTGGTCCCTGGTCTTATGTCCATGCGTCGAAGTCATGCAGCTCCCCGGATCTTTGTTCACGTGTCCGAGTAATACTAGTTCCCGGTCGTATGTCCATGTGTCCGAGTAATACTAGTCCCCAGTCGTATGTCCATGTGTCCGAGTAATACTAGTCCCCGGTCGTATGTCCATGTGTCCGAGTCATGCTGCAGCACAACTTATGTCTATTGCTGTCCTCACAACACCTTCAAAACGAACGTCAACTATACCGAGCTAATATTGGTAGTCTCCGATGGGCCATTGGCTCTTATCAGTCTTACCCGCCTGAACAGATACTGTCTGGAGTTATCGGCTGGTTCGTGGCTCTCTTACCCACCCGAACGATGCAGCTGTTGAGAAATGTATTATTCTCGATCATGACGTCACGGAGATAGCTGACAAGGTCACACTTCCATTCACTAAACACGTGGTTATTGAGTCATACGTATACACATACCCAGACATCCTGACACCCATTTATACCAACGAGACGTAACGACAGCGTTAGTGTAAAACGAATATTCATGAGTTATCGTAAATGGTCACTGAGATACTACTATATATTAGTGACGTTGTACAACTCAGGACTCATCTAGCTATAGGCTGACCAACCTTCGCTGAACAGCCAGTCACCCAAAACCGCAGACATTCACCGACCACAGCGTATGGTCATTGACCTTTACGTAGCAGACCGCAATGTACTATCTCCGATACATACGTCCCATGAACAGAATTACTGCCCTTTACGGTGACATTCCACCTAACAAATAATAATTTAAAAAACTTCATTTTTAATGGCTACCAATAATTCTTACAGTTCTTACTAAGTTACACAGACATTGTATGCATGCTTTGATTAACCGTAGCGACCGTCTACTGAACTAATTCGTTTAATTATTCGAATTCAAATCTATATTATATATTATTTTTCAGTGAACTACGAAAAAAACGACTGTGATCGGTTGTATATAGTGAACGATATCGACGTGTACCGGCTCGAGTCGTACCCACGTCAGGGCATCAATACCGGCAGAGATAAGTGTTTCAACAAGTTCAGCGCACCAAACAAGAAACTCAAGATCCATGTCTACGAGGTTTCCATCGGTAGCTGTGGTATCTTTGTCAACATCTACGATGGGGACGAGAAGATGTTTAACGACCCTAGGGTAAGTATTGCCATCTAAACCACCACAGGGGCACGACAATTAATTAAGCAATGAATGTTTTAACAGATGTGCTTATGGTCATATAACACACATTGCTAGTGATGACAAACTTAATAAAGCCCGGATGGGTTTTATGTAAGTTTGTCAGCAATAGAAATGTGTGTTATAGGACCATACGAATATTTTCTAAAATATTTATTACTTATATTTAAATTTTGATCAAGTAGTTACGCTTTATTTTGTTATTTTGAAATGTTCTTTGAACAGAAAGTTAGGTTTTGACAGCAGTGTTATGAAATTGATGACCTCACAATAAAGGTAGATGACTTACAACAGCATTTGCCTTCTCCATGCATTGCAATGGAAGGATGCATAGGAAATGGAAATATCAGTCAATCACAGTATGTAGGATTGGACCATTCCTCATGTGTACAGTGGGGAGTATTATTTTAGTTAATATTAACACTCCGTAAAACGTAACAAGGAAAAAGTCACTTTCCACACTAAATCTATTTAAAGAATGATGAAACTGTTTTTGTCTGGTTATGCAATACACTATATATGTTTTTAAAATCTGCTAACTTTGCACACGTCTCTCACGTGGTTTATGCTATTTGATGTCATTTCACATTCAAAGTTTATTATTTTTAGCATTCGAAATGTATACACTTTAATAATGTACATTTACGGTCATCTGCGCTAGAATCAATCTTCTCTACGTGAATAGAAAGTATGAAGGTAAAAGCTGGAATTCAGTTTCCCCAAGGTCACCCGTTCTAACCTTTGGGAAGGCCCGGAATTCATACATTTGGTCAAATTTTACTTACTTTGGAGGGAAATAATTCAAACTCATGTGATGGCAGTTTGATGGTATACACATTCAGACTAACAAAGATGAAAGATGTTGAATGATCGTAGGGCTTAGGGCAAGTACCATGACATTTTCTTTCTGGTATACCGATATGGTTTTCTGACTACTGTAATCAGCTATATATATGTTGAACACTCACCAACATCATTCATTTACTTTTTTCAATAATTCGCGGTTGAATAATCTAAATTTACGTCCCTGACTCATACGTTCCCTGTAGTCTTACATGTAGTCTTACCTGTAGTCTTACATGTAGTCTTACATACATGTAGTCTTACATGTAGTCTTACGTGTAGTCATACATGTAGTCTCACAGGGAAAGTACGAGTCTGGGACGGAAATTAAACCTTCTATTTATCTTCGTTATAGGACTAAAAAAAATATATATATATATTCGGGATTCGGTTTGTTTTTTAGAATTTTAGTTTATGTTATCAAATGTTAATAAATCATGCTTTTAATCATTCTGACTGGTCTTTTTTACGTTCATTATTCAAAGTTAGTGCGGTTTTACGTACGAAGTTTGTGTTATTTAAGGCGTATATAGTTATACGCATTTCATATAAAAGAGACTATCTTGCTTGGAATAATAAACTCTTGGCCATTTTAAAAGTGCCAGTTTGTCAAAGTTTTTTTTTCCTGTTAACTCTATAGCTTAAATTGATTTATTTTGTGTGTAACAAATTGGAGAAAGAAGAGAGTACAGAGGTGTAATCAAATTTTGAATTGCAGTGGAGCCTAGGTTGTCGTAGTCCTGGGAAGACCGTGTACGAATCCTTCTCCAGTGAGGTGATAGTCAGACTAGACAAGCCAGTGGCCGACTCCAGCAGCCTCTACCAATTCCGGATCTACATCACCAACGAGAACGGTTGGTTCCTTTTTCAATAATTTATATGGAACTGATCATTTCCTGTTTCTGTCTTTACTACGCGTGACAGAGGTCATTTTTATATTTTACGTTCCATTTGGGGACACCGCGTTTTACTTTAGTAGGCAGCGGTTTTAGGGCTGATCGGTCTGCTTATACAGATAGACGCTGCATTGTTAAAATGTATTTCCTCGGTGATAGTTTTTATAGCCCCAAATGTTAATGGAGGTATTTTCGTTTCTGTTTCTGTGACGTAAGCCCATATATCCATACCAAGTATTTTCGTAGATTTTGTGGTGTGTTGCTTCTATAATACGCAGATATGTGATAGAATCCTAGTGTGTCCGGTTTGTCTAGCATGAAGACTTTTCACGATAGGCTGATTGTACTTCTTAAACCATTCCTAGTTATGCTATTCTTTCTGCTTTATGTCTGTTCCTTTATCGTTCAGGTAAGTATCACTGTGCCTATATGTAGATGTATACAGATATAGTCTATTCACTTTGTACAGGTGCTACCGCTTTTGCTTCTCATTTCCCTGTAATTGCATCCCGGCCGACTGAGAGATTTTTCGTCCTAATTTCATCAGGAATACTCTCTTCCTGTCCCCAATATCTCAAAGGTAGCTAAACCTGAACTAGTGTTAAGTGAAAAATTCAAATTGTTGTCACAAAGAAAGAAGGGGTTTAAAGCAAAAAAAATATCCTCAAACCATATCAATCTCATTTGTCAGAACCTACGTATCAGATGTTCTTGTTTTCGCTTTACCGTTAGTTACCTCTAACCGAAGTTTAAGTAACAGCGGCCTGTTGTTTACTAGTGAGGCGATTAACAGCGGCCTGTTGTTTACTAGTAAGGAGAGTAACAGCGGCCTGTTGTTTACTACATTTGTAGTAAGGAGTCCCATCATGTCTTATTCTACATGTCCTTGTTATCCTATTCAATATACAATTATGTGCTTGTACGTCTAACTTAGCTGGTAGTACATCTGTACACCCAAACAACTCTATACCATACCTGTTTACCCACTAAACTCTGTCATTGAGTCTGTTCTGTTTTCTTGTAGGACCGGAAGTTGACCTTTCAAAACCGACAATGTCTGATGGCGGAGGAGCGTCTAGCGGCGTCATTGCCGGTATCGGCATTGGTGTCGGTCTGGTCGTCGTCGTCATCATCGTCGTCGTGGCGATCGTCTGCTGGAGAATGATGGGGAAGAAGGAGAAGTATGGCAACAAGTCCCCGGCTGTATTCACCACTTGTAAGTTTAAACTCACCGTATTCATTCAGTAGGTTTCCATCCAGTCCCATTTTCTGTTATTATTTACCATCCATCTAAGGAACCCTTTTTTCTCCAACTCCTCGCTCCTAAAACCTCCCACTCTGTCCTTCTCTTAATTCCCCCTAACTCTTCCCACTATGTCCTTCTCTTTGTCACCTCTCTCTGTCTCCCCTCCCATTATGTTCTTTTCCTAATATCCTCTCCCTCTGTGTTCTCTCCCTATACACTCTCACTGTTAATCTCTACCTCCTCTCTGCCCCCTCCCCCTTCACCTACCCCCCCTCGTTTCTGTTCATCTCTCCCATTCCCTTGCCTTCCCTATCTACCACTTTCCCCTATGTTATTCTCTTCATATCTCTCTCTCCCCTCCGCACCCCATTTTCGTCTCTTCAATTCCTCTGTCTGCCCTATGTAACTCCTCATAACTCACATTTGTTCCTTTCTTCAACCTCCTGTCTTTCTGACCCTCTCCCCTATGCCCCCTTTCTCTCCTCCCCTCTTCTTCCCCTACCTAACCCCCTGTCTTTACCCCTCTCTTCCCTTACTATCTATGAAGTGTTTTTCCTCTTCTTCCCCTACCTTACCCCCTGTCTCTACCCCTCTCTCCTCTTACTATCAATGGAGTGTTTTACCAGTCTTCCCCTGTCTAACCCCCTGTCTATACCCCTCTCTGTCTTCTTTCCCTACCTAACCCCTGTCTCTCCCCCTCTCTCCCCTTACTATCAGTGGAGGGTTTTACCCTCTTCTTCCCCAACCTAACCCCTGTTTATACCCCTCTCTCTCTTCTTTCCCTACCTACCCCCTGTCTCTACCCCTCTCTCCCCTTCCTATCAGTGGAGTGTTTTCCCCTCTTCTTCCCCAACCTAACCCCTGTTTATACCCCTCTCTCTCTTCTTTCCCTACCTAACCCCCTGTCTCTAACCCTCTCTCCCCTTACTATCAATGGAGAGTTTTACCTGTTCTTCCCCTGCCTTACCCCCTATCTATACCCCTCTCTCTCTCTTCTCCCCCTAACTAACCCCCTGTCTATACCCCTCTCTCTCTTCTTTCCCTACCTAACCCCTGTCTCTACCCCTCTCTCCCCTTACTATCAGTGGAGTGTTTTACCCTCTTCTTCCCCTGCCTTACACCCTGTCTATACCCCTCTCTCTTCTTTCCCTACCTAACCCCCTGTCTCTACCCCTCACTCCCCTTTCTATCAATGGAGTGTTTAACCCGCTCTTCCCCTGCCTAACCCCCTGTCTATACCCCTCTCTCTCTCTCTTTTTCCATTACCTTATAACCATGTCTATACCCTCTCTCTCTCTCCTCTTCCTTTACCTAACCCCCTGTCTATACCCCCCCCTCTCTCTCTCTCTTCTTCCCCTACCTAAACCCCTGTCTACCCCTCTCTCTCCTTACTATCAATGGAGTGTTTGTGGCAGAAAGGACCACTGAATAACTTGATACAGATGGGATGTTGAATGTGATGCTGTAAAAAACGACAAATGTATTGTGTAGGAAGATTTCGGCTACCAAGTCAGTGACATGTTGGTCTACTTGTCATTATAGCAATCAATGTTGTACCTTTATAAATCTAGTATTCTAGTATTTCATTGATAAGCCTGTCGTGTGAAGAACATTTAAAACACATTATCAAACACATCATCTGCTAATCAAGGCTTTGCAGGATCTGCCAGCATTTACATAAAGCCGAATCGTCTAGGTTCTAGTGACTGTGTGGAATGACATCAATGTGTGGAATTGTAGTATGTTATTGGGTCAAATTATTCTAAGCCTGTGTCTGAACCATTTGCCAGTTTCCTGAGCCCAGTATCCGGTGTAACTGGTGTTTGTTGCTGGATCTCTTTGGGTCCAATAGTTCAATGATGAGACGACACCAGGCACCAACCAATCAGGATAACATCCGGGTTCTGCACGCAAGTGTCGTGTCAATCTAGGTACAGTACTGAAAGACAACCCGTGGATCAATAACATTTTAATGTTTCTTCTCCTTTAAAGAAATTAGATCATACATGCATAATTAATAAAACACGAACTTCTTCCTTAGAACAACAAAAAAGGGGGTAAAATAGGATAACATATGTTTCTAGAACAGGAGATTGGTATCGGACATGAATCTGTGGATCTCGTGTGTTTGACACTAGCATCGATCCACCACTTCCCATCATTTCGTACTATTCTCCTTCCCATCACTTCGTACTTTTCTCCTTCCCATCACTTTGTTACCATTCTCCTTCCCGCTTTCCTGGTTAATCACCACATCCCATTTGTCTTCTGTTCGGTTCAGGACTATCAAGCAAGTGGCTAGATAAGTTACACAGTGACTATATAAGTAGAACGGGTGACTGGTTTATGATAAAAAAAAGTGACTGGATATTAAACCTATCATGAATTCGACTATCTACGTTCAGAATGGGTATGGTGAGTACTAATTGTATGTCGTTCGTATCAGTAGAATTAGTATATATATGGTTGTATGTCACACAGGTATTAACTATTTCACCCCTGAAATTTCATAATGAACTTTTGAATTGGAAGAGTTCAAATGTGTCTTCGGGAGTGAATGAGTTGATAACGAATGGTCTTGATACGTTTCTTATTTCGGAAAGACAGTTCATCTGTTTGATTGACATGTGATAATCACCATTTGTAACCAATCAGAACTTGCTTCTTTCAAGAAATGCTATTTTACGGAGATGGAAAATAAGAAAAAGAAAACTGTGTTTTGACTACGACGTATTTCGTTTACAGCTGCTTCGAATGATCCACCTGTCAACGGTATCTTAAAACGAACTGAAAGTAAAGGGCGTGGGAGCAAGCGTCGTAATAACCGGCCTGCTTATGGAGGCCATGACAACAAAGCGTACAGAAACTCTGTAGACGGCGACGATTATAGTAGTGTCAATGGCGCTCCCAGCACGGAGTCCACGCGTGGGGGTATAGACTTACAATACGAAGAGGAAATTGCCAGAAAAGAACGTCGTTCATACTCCAACCGACCGAGTCGCCGACGGAACGACGACTCAACGGATGAAACTGGAGACAGTGTGTTCCACAACAAGGCATACGAAGACGACGAAAAAGGTGATAGAAGTTTGCGTGTGCGCCCCGACCGACGGCATCGGGATCGGGATGATAGTAGTGACTCTTACGTTAGTAGCTCACGTGGTGCAGTGAGCTACATTACGGACACAACAAACCGTACTCGGACAGACTCAACCTCTCGGAGCACAGACGACCGAGGCAGCCAATCATCGACTACAGACGGTACGCACGATCACCACTTCGTCAAGGGCGATAACGCGCGAAGGAGTGGGCGAAGTCGTAGTCACAGTAAATCGTCTTCACAATCAGGTCAACGTCGGCGACCACGTGTTTCTATGAGCGCAGGCGGCGACGCTAGTGACGTCAGTGGCTCGCACAGGTCAGATCATCGCCCTAGTAGTGGGGGGTCACATCATCGACGCAGGTCAAGGTCAAGGGAAAGGGAAAAGAAGCCGTCGCCATATATTGGAGCTTTCGCTGACGCTAAGAAAAAGAAACGGAAGAAATAAACATCGGGTTTCTTTTCATAAAAAAGTATTTTTACAATTTGTTACAAAGTTTTACCATATTATCTAACATGATTTTACAAGACTACGCCGCAGCTAAATGATCCTCTTTTTATTGTTGTGATAAAAAGCTGACATTTGAAGGATTCTTTCTCAAGGATGCCATACAATACAACGAACAGCAAATCAAACCGTACTTGAACAGGTCGATACGTCGACCCTGACAGAGGTGCTATTTCCTCCCTTGTTGACGAGACTCGTTTTACTTAGGATTTAGAATACAACAATGTGGATGTTGGGTATACCAGGTAAAATGTTTGATCAGAGACGTTTGTTCAATAAAACGGACACATCACTTGTGTATTTTTCTATGTGAATCAGCCGGAGGACAACTTTGTGTGGCCCTTCTCCTCCCCTTGTGAGAACTAAACACGAACGTACGTCCCACCCCTCACGTGACGTACTCGTGTAGTGGAAGAATGGGACTTGTATCCATGACAAATTCGTCGTTTTACGAACCACTGGGTGTGAAATATAAAGACTATGACGTTACAATCTAAAGCACGCAGATTTACTTTAACTACAAAGATGTTTGGAGACGAGTAAGTGTGATACGCGAAACGTACATGTTGTATCGTTTTTGGGAATCTACTGTTGCACGTGACGGTAACGCCACCTATTGTTTGTCACTTGACGGCCTTGACATTGTTGTGATAGTGATTTGACAGCACACTGTGAACGTTTATAAAAACGACAATATGGTACTAGGTAAAACATATGGCTTATGGAACACTGAATCGTGTCATAAGGAAGAACAGTGACTAATGAGATGGAAAGCATTGGTGTCGTGCGCAGTTTGAAATGGTGTCGTGCGCAGCACTGTTTGGATTTAATTGAATATGTGAAAAAGACACTATAACTCCAGTTGGGCGATTAATTTGTGTATGCTTTTAACTAATATATATATATATATCCGAGTACGCAATTGTGAATCTGTAAGGACATTTATACTTCCGGTATTAGTTTTGGTCTGTTAAGAGCCATTCCAGAGTGTAAGTATGATAGTAATCTGGTAAAGACGTCACGTGGTCTGCTAACTAGATCACATGAGAGTAAACTTGTAGACCTTTAGGTATATTGTGAAGGTTAATAAATGTCCATTATTCTACCATTATCTGACATTGCAGATTGAAATCTGAATGCCACGCGCCATTTTGATAAGAACATTAATATAACGTATTAATAATCAAACGTCAGACACGATTTATATTTTAAATTGTGTATCCTAATATTTGTTCAGGGAAATCTGCACTAAAGAAACATTTCCTGTATATTACAACTAAGGGATGTCACTGTACGCTCGGAGATAAATATACGGTATATTGCAATACACAACGAACGCATTTCGATACGAATCCCAATATATTGTCATAGAAAATGTGTTCTGAATTATAAATAAGATGAACCACACAGATTTCCGTTAAACCAACCATTGATGATGAAATGTTAGCTGGTTCCCTACACTTGTAACGGCCTGTTCATGTTTACTGGTTTTACCTGTTAGAATATGAAGTAAATTGCTCAGCTCAACACCTAGCAGATATATAAACATAAGCTTTTGGAAAATATTGCGATACAGCGATATTTCATTTCTGTTTTGCGATACGATCCGATATGTTTGTGTATTGCAATAAATCGGTTTTGTTTTCAATTTAAATCGTGACAGCCCTGATAGAATTTAATCGGAACAAGTGTTAAATGAACCTACACCGAACGTTAACAGATGTTAAACCGTAGACTTTTAACACGGAAATGTGTGACGGTGGACAGGACTGACAGATCCTTGTTTCTATTTATACAGACTTAAAGATAAGTGCTCGGCCATGATATAGTTATACATATATAAATTATATTTAATATACTGCTGTGGTGTTATCTATGTCATATATGTATATAATATAGAACTGTTGTCATATATGTGTGTGTATATATACAAATGTTCTCATACATAGTATCATTTATGTAGAATAACCTGATATTTCAGCAAGTTCGATTTATAAAACACTTATTTTTGTATATTTTACTAAAACCTTCAAGGGCGGTAACTCCAATTGTTATTGTGTTATTGAAGTTTACGGGCAAACATAAACTGATGTTAAGTAATACCTAGGACTGATGATTTATAAATGGCCAGATATTACCTCTAATAAGCTGTGTAGGACATTTCCTGGGGACATGATGGGATTAGGATTCTACCTATGATTTCTCAGGAAAATTTCTGTCCTGTTATTAATTGTTTCGTCTGAAATTAATAATACTTTATAATTCGACGTTCTTATACCGGTTTATCACAACCAACTTCTTAGGTCGTCTCAAAGCGGTTCACAAATTATTGTTAAAAAATGTAGTTTAATCACGGGTATTTAATTGCTTTCCTTCAAATATAAAGTTGAATTCATATGCCAATTAGAGGGATATCCCGATTTGACGTTTTCACTAACTATAACATCAATTTGTGGGAAAGATACATTTTATTATCAACCTGTCCTTATATAGATGAATAACCACGTAGACTGAATTTAAGTGGAGAAAACTTGGTTTTCCGTTTGAGTCTGGCCAAGTTATAAATAAATACCAATCAGTAACCAGATTTAAAGTAAAATATATCGGTGTCATCTCAATGTTAAAGAAGTTACAAAAACACAAACAAGTAACAATCTAGTAAAGACGTGACTGATTGGCTTGCTTGTGTGTTACTGTTCCAATAGTTACAGTTATCTGGTAAACGGGCATTACACATAATAGCACTCAACACGCTTTATGATCTATGTGAAAGCACATGTTACGGAATCAAACTAAAACCTCGTTAATATTTTTGGATTAAAACGATATTTTAAACAAAGTCCTCTTACAATGCACTGCCGATTTGAAACGATAAGACAACTTTTGTTTTATTTTGCGAAAATGGTTTTGGACAAAAAATTGGTTTTCAATCATAAATCATTTAATCGCATGTATGCCGAAAACACCCTACTTGGAGCATTACTGCAGCTGCTAAAAGTTGAAACCATACTTAAGAGTGTTCTTGCAGCTGCTGACACATAGAAGGTGCGGATATTCTCTCTCAGAACATGTTGTGTAAATACAGATCATTTATCATAAACTATTTGGATATACTAGATAAGAGTGTAAATGGAAGAAAACGATCAATTTTAATTTCTATTCCCTGTGATGTTCAATGCATGTTTTATGTATACAACGGGATGCATGTATGAAAGTGTCATTAGTTATTTTTTTACTTTTTTTATTTGTAACTTTCAAAGTGCTCCGGAAATTAATGAATAATACAATGGAGATGAATAACCAAGTCACACAATATTGATTTTTTGAAACCGGAAATGACGTATAAGTATATGAAATGCGGAAGTGACTTACTAGTATACTCGGTAATGATTTGGATGCGAGTAAGAGTGTGTAGCTGTGCTAGTGTTACTATGCCTGTACACTTGTTTTGGATAATAAACACATGCCATACGACTAAATAATCAATGTATCGCCTCAGTGTTGTTTTTGCATGCTGTAATTCTCCTTATTGTTGTGATATTTGTATCTAAAGTTTGTCTAGCGATATATAGAATTGCACTCGCGACAAATTAATAATATATGTTTGTTATACTTGAAATGTTTGATAGTGGACATTTATAATACTTAAGAATTAGAATACTAGATATTTTTCACTAAAGATGTCTGTTTCTTCTGAAGGTTTGAAAAATCAAGTTTATAATAATGTTATTATTAGATCTTCTTAAATATACATTTTGAAATGGGGAAAAACCTAGCTGAAACCCACAACAAACCACAAATATTGTCTCCATTTCCTGGGATAAGAAGTTTTGTATCAGATATTGTGTGTAGCTGTTGACTTGTAAACTTGTGTTAATTATGTAATAGACATTCACACGAGGGGATTGACGAGGACTTAACATTCCCTAGCTGTCATCATTAGCATCTTTTTAACGTTCGTTTTATTGCAGTTTTTCTTGGATGTGGAATGATTTTTTTGTATTAATCTAAAATCGCTGCAGGCGATCTAAAGCAGTACTTTTGTTTCCAGCTGAAACCAGAGGAGGGGATTCCGTACACTTTGAAAACACACTTGGAGGAAGTCGGAGTCGCGCCGCAAGGGCATCCAGTGACCGCAGCTCGACCACCAATGGCTACCGTTCAACTTCCGGTTCACAACGCGGACGGTCTTCCCATAACCATGACAACAATGGCTACGTATCAAGTAACGAATCATCAGTAACAAACAAAAAAGTCAGTCGCAATCCTATTCCAATTAAGTCTTTAGATGGAGCGAAATTCGAAAAGGCGACGGAAACAACGACCCATCGGTTTACAAAACGAGACGGATCCGTTAGAAAAAAAGTCAATTTAGACAACGACATAGAAACAAAACAACACATTAAGAAGGAGAGACCTAAAGATGAAACTGACAGCGCTAGGGTAGGGCTCATTCAAAAATCAAAACCAAACGATAACACCCACTCACTCATCAGATCTAGTTCAGAAAAACGCAATACCGGATTAAGAAGTACGATCGGAAGTCGAGCTGATACTTCCAGTGACACCTTGTCATCTCATTCCGACAGACGGTCAAGACGTGATGATCGACAAAGCGGCAGATCACATGATGATAGGAACGAAAAAAGATCTAAAGACAGCGCCACACGGCGGTCAAGTTACCGAGAATCTCAGTCACATGATCGTCGAGACCGAATCGGCAGCACAAGGAGCAGGAACAACTCCACATCACGGTCTAATCGACCCGCTTACAAAGACGAGTACGACACCGGTTGGTATCGATCAAGGCAATCTCTCAGATATACTAGTCGACATCAGGAGAAGAACTACAGCGATTACGACAGCGATCATCGGAGTCAGCGGCGAGAAAAATATGATAGAAACCCTGGTTATGACAGTGACGCGCGGAGACGTCACCATGATTACGACAGTGATCGCGGAGGCCGTGACCGTGGCTACGACAGTGAAACGCGGAGACGTCACCGTGACTACGACAGTGATCGCGGAGGCCGTGACCGCAGTCAGCGCCGACACGATCAGGACCAACGAGACAAATACTACAGTGACGAGGACCTCGTGGAGAGTCGGAGGCAGCGCGGCGGAAGTCTGTCCCGGAAGTCCCGTCCGCGCAGTCAAAGCTACAGTCGCGACAGCAGGAGATGATAGGGCGTCATACAAAGATTCAAGTTCATTGCGTTCACTTGTTTCACTAGGACTTAACATAAATCCTATATCATCACATTACTAGTTTCTTTCCTCAAGTTAATCAACGATAGACTATATACAGACAGGACAAGACAGGTGTACACTGATATAGACTATATACAGACAGGACAAGACAGGTGTACACTGATATTGTAACAACGTCAGAAAAGAAGCCCAATACGGGTTTATTTTGCAAGAACTAGACAAGCATGCCAACTAGAACTGCGAGGCACTATTGTGTTTTGAATTTGCGATATCATCAGTATTGTATTGGTTGATAGTTCTTGTATTTTTCAACCTATTTCCCATTTACTACATTATACTAATAGATACATTCATTTCTATGTAATTATTGTGCAAACAATTATTTTTGTTGGTTGCCATTTTTATCGTATGAGGCATTTTCAAACGAAAAAATAAAAGAGCTTGAAGGCTGAAAGGTGTTTAAATGCTAAAATCCTTTACAGACTAGTTTTTATGTTATAAGGTGTCCTTATTTGGTACTTTAGTATTACAGTATGTTTTATTGATATTTTTTTTATAAAGACGTCTGTTCCCGTCTACTTCTGTTCCATTTTATACAAAACAAGGATTGCACCATAAAATGTCAACTGTCTGTAATACCGAGGTAACACCTAGATCAAAAATGACTTGGACGCACGGACACACGGACACGGACACATACACCTGCAATGACGAGACGAGACTTTTAATGATAACTTTTTTACTTTTTTTATTTCTTTCCTTCTTAAATAAAAATAAATAAATAAATGTAACAGATGTTATCAACTTATTTTATTAACTGTTGTCGGGCAGGAGTGTAGCTCGCTGAGAGTCTTTAATTTTTATAGTAACTAATAACACTTTTGATCATTTATTTTATGGCCAGTTTCTTAATATTTCATTATGTTTATATATTAAAGATATACACTGACTGTAGAAGTAAACTATCGAACTAGGCGAGTGACAAGGCGTTCCTATGTACAAATATCACATGAGTCATAAGTGTTCATATTCCAAACTTTCATTTCTTTGAAGAAGAAAAAAATCATGAAACCAAAGGGTTTATTCATTTATTAAATTGCAATTGATATTTTTTTCCATACATGTAAAGATTATTTGAAGGAACTAACTCGGTAGAAGGCCATTATCCAGACTTGATGCACCGGACGTTTGTATCGTTTCTATAGGACATTGCTACTTGTTGTGTAAAAATGTCAAAATTTCGTAATAAAGGAGGAAAATGATGAAGTATCTTTGTTTTGTCTACACTTAACTTATCGATGCCATTGAAAAACCTTACTACGAGTGTTATGTCGAATTCCATGTTATACTGGACGTCGGAGTTCGGTCTCTGTTACCACATGTACGTACAAAAAAGGACTCCCAGTAGTTCAGTTATACCTGGTTTACATCTTGGCTTGCTGATACACATTTATACAGATAAGTGGAGTACACCAAAGTGTCACAACGACCATCTACGGTAGGAGCAGAGAACCAGGACAACAAATAACCTGGGGAGACTATTTAAGGTGCAGGAAGATGCCATCAAGTTAGAAAAAATATGTTACTACATCTTTACCTGTGGAATATTGTCAACTTCTGTATACTTATTAATGTACTTGTCGTATTTCTTGTACATATATGACAAGACCATAGATCTGGTGCGATTGATTCAAATTCAATTAGGAAAATAGAAAGCATGCATGCACATCCATTCACAATCTACACAAAGGGAAATAACTCTTACAAGAACTAATTGAACGTTGTGCTGTCTACAGTGATACTCGTAAACATATAAATCTTCAGATATATTATAAAGCATAAACATCTAATGGTTTAGTTTTTAATCACGGAGGGATATTGTTACATGGCATTTTAGTGTTATAGAAACGAAAATAAAATAAGATGCATCCTGAAATGTTTATTTCATAAGATCGATGTGATGCTGATAGTAACATGGTGTGTTATGAATACAGTAAGTAACTAATACTGTAATATTGCTACATTTGGTCGCCTTCACCATTAAAGTATTGCCCAGTGACAGGTGCTCGCCTAGTTGACGTGTCCTGGCTCTCCCGAGAGGATATATATAACTTGTGCTACCTTGGGCTTTCCTTCACCATTGAAGTATTGCCTAGTGACAGGTGCCCGCCTAGTTGACGTGTCCTGGCTCTCCCGAGAGGATATATAGAACTTGTGCTACCTTGGGTCGTCCTTCACCATTGAAGTATTGCCCAATGACAGGTGCCCGCCTAGTTGACGTGTCCTGGCTCTCCCGAGAGGATATATAGAACTTGTTCATCTTGTTTAACGAAAAATAAGAAGATATCAAGCCTTGCACAGTAGCGTAGCTGTCTTAGGCTCGAAAAAACACGTGTCTACACATAATTTTGTCAAATGTTTTGTTAATTCAAGAAATTGAAGATTAAAGATTATACTATATCCAGGATATATGGTTTATGTCAGTACAAAGTACGAACAATCATAGTTTTAATTCAGTGCAAAACACCTTTCAAGCTTATTTTGATAATTATGGCAATGTCACAACGATGAACAAGTCTTCGGTCCGGAAAATTTGAAATATTAAAAGTTCGGAGACCCAGTCAGAGAATCCCTCTCGCAGTTAAGCTGTCTCGTCTTTCAATCTTTGTCTGCAGAACTAGAACTAAGCTACTTGATAAGCAAGGTAACCCTACCTATACACTTTCGAGTTTTTCGAAAGACGAAATACTAGTTAATCACGCTTCCGTATTACAATCTCCGAATACCTATTAATGAAAAGCATGCAGACCTAACCCGAATGTATTTGATTCCGAAATTTCACAAGAATCCTTATAGGTCTATGTTTTATCGTGGGCTCATCTCGTTGCTCAACCAAGCCATTATGAAAACGTTTGTTACCATTCTCTGTATCATTCCATTAGGGTTACAGTCGTATAGAGACTGTATACTCGGTCAGAGGAATAAATGGAATGTGGATTTTGAAGAATTCAAAACATCTCCTGATTTATCTTGAACATCTTCTCAAAAATGTTTCCTCTATCAAAACTTGTTACTTCCCGACCCTTTACACTACCATTCTTCATACCAAACAAAAGGAATGCATTCGTTCTCATATTACGAGAGCCATGCGGCGAACTACGATATTAATGAATGGTTGTATTGTTTTGGAGCACATTTTGTGAAAAACACAACAATGGTTAAAATATATTACAGAGGATGAAATTGTGAGAATGATTGAGTGTGGTTGACAATTT